GATTTCAGCCTCCAGCACAGTCAACTCTTGGGATCCTCCTGTTACTCCAGAAATATAGATGGGTTCCATCCCTTGACAGCTTGATGGCATCAGGGTACACTGTGCACCGGTATCTACTAGAGCCTTATACTTCTGTGGGACTGATGTGCCAGGCCATCTGATCCACACAGTCCAGTAAATCCGATTGTCCCCTACCTCCACCTGGCTGGAGGCAGGGCCCCTCTAATGGTCGTCACAGTGTTGGCCACTTAAGTTGTGGTGAAAGGGATTATTCTTTGTTAATACAGGAGCTGGAGTAAAATCAGCTCTTCCACTCCATCTGGGAAACTGCTCACCAGAGACCGAAGCCGTAGCTCTCATGGGACGATCAGTCTTGGCCCTTGCTCCCCTCTTCAGTTCACTCACCCGTTCCTCCAAAGCTGAAGTAGGTTTTCCATCCCACTTTGTCATGTCTTCTCCGTGATCCCGCAGGTAAAACCATAGGGTACCCCGTGGCGTATACCTCCTGCATCTCCTCTCTCGAACAATAGGACGCCTTTTGTTAATAGCTGAGACGTGTGTTAGTACACGTGAGGAGCTGGATAAATCAGATAGATCGTCCCTCAATTGTTCGAGGTCCTGGGACAGTTTTTTCACAGCTGAGATGATGGAAGGGGTGAGATTGTCTTCGAACTCTCGGAGTTTATGAACCATTTCATCCGCTGTTAGTGGTACTATGTCATTCCAGGTTACTGTTGCGAATGAATGGGCATATGATGACGGTGCATTCCGCGTAAGTTTTCGCCACATGGGTCGTGTACATTCAACTTCATCTGGATCTATAGGTGTATCCCCGTTATTCGGCTTGATGTGATAGAGCATCTCTACGATGGCCGATTCCCTCAGAGACTGGATGCCTTTGTCTATAGTAGTCCACTTGGCCGAACGACTCGTAACATCGTCCTTGTACGGAAACCTTTCTTTCACAGCTGCCAAGAGCCGCCTCCAGAGGCTGAGGGACTTTTTCTCTCTTGCAATTGCTTTGTCAATTCCCCCTTCTCTAGCAAGTGATCCCAGCTGCTTGGCTTCTGTACCTTCTAGTTCGTGACCATCGGCCCCATTGTCCCAGCATCGGAGTAACCAGGTGATGATGTGCTCCCCTGGTTGACGGGTAAAATCTTTTCGCATATTCCGCAGCTCGGTTGAGGTCCGAGGTCGAGAAGTTACCTCTTCTTCTTCATCTTCGTCATGTGATGATGACTCCTGATCAGATTCTGGACCGGGTGGTGAATTCATTGGTTCTTCATCTCGCTTCACCCTTTTTGCCTCCTTTTTGCTTGTTCTCTTGCATACAGGGGCAACCGATATTGGTACGAATTGGTACTCTGGTTTGGCTGCAGTGATTATCACTGTGGTTTGAGTAGCGACTGTACTTGTTGCTGGGGATGGTGTAGCTGTTGTGCTTGGAGCTGGGGTAACCGCACTGTCTGTTGCAGTTGAAGTTTGAGCAGCTGCTGTACTTGCCACTGGGGTGGCTGCTCTGTTCATTGAGGCCAAAGTTTGGGTAGCAACTGTACTTGTCGCTGGGGTTGGTGCAGCTGCTGTGCTTGGAGCTGGGGTAACCACGCTGTCTGTTGCGGTTGAAGTTTGAGCAGCTGCTGTACTTGCCGCTGGGGTAGCTGTGCTGTTCATTGCAGCCAAAGTTTGAGTAGCGACTGTCGCTTTGCCCTGAGATCCGCCGACATTCTTTTCCTTTTGAAGGTGCTGGATAGTGTTGAACAAGGCCCTGTAAGCATAGGCCAAGCCCCAGCACGTTGCCATGATTTGTCCATCTCTGTTATGGCCAGAATGACCACACACCTCATTTAAGTGTTTTACTAATTCTTCTGGATTTTGCAGTTGTTCGGTAGTGAAATTCCAAAGTACTGGAGGGGCCCACTGACCTAGATACTTGCCCATACTATCCCACACACCCTGCCACTCATGGCTGTCCAGCCTCAGGGAAAATCTCTCGGTCCTCCTACATCGTCATTTGACCCCAGACAAGACCCAAACCTGACTCTGCTTAACTCTTGAAATCAGTAGTGGGCAAAACACACTCTGTATGCGTGTTAGCATGGTGATTCCCATCACCATCAGCAAACAAGTCTCAACAGCATTAAAAGGCCATTCAAAAAATTCAAAACTCTCAGATGTAAATGGTCTGGGGGGACGACTAGGAGGGTAAAAGGATGTCTCCTTCACAGGTTGAGCACCTGAGAGGAGAAAAAAGATGTGTAATTGCTAAGCACCTTCATCATATACCTCCCAAAATATAAAGGTGGTGACCACACTGGGAACATAAGCCAGAGCAGTTTCATGATCAATGATTCTATTGTATTACAAGTCATTACCATAAAGTACAATGGGACAAAAACCTTAGCCCAAGCCCCACACTTGAAAAACACTAATACAGCAAATGCCGGATGGACGTAAAATACGATATACTGAAACTGTGAGATCAAGAGGAACAACCTTGAGAGCCAATAAATCAGCATTGTGACGAGTGACTATCAATCCAGTCAGATCTGTTCTTATCTCAACCCCTCGTGCCCCACGTTGGGCGCCAAAAAGAACTGTTGTGGTTTAAACCCAGTCAGGTAACTTGTTCACTCACCCCCAGTGAGTGGTGCCGAGCTGACAACAATCGAGGTCCGTGTCCCCCCCCCCCGCACCAGGGCTCTCCCCTTCCCCGCTCCTGGAGGAACGGGGAGGAGGATCGAGAGAGTGCAAGTCCTACGGGTTGAGACAAGAACAGTCCAGCAACAAATCACCACCACTACTATCAACTACAACAATGATAAGGGAAAATAACAAGGGAAGAGAATACGATACCACCGGCCAAGAAAACGAGTCCCACCTGGAAGCCCGTGTCCTTCCGGGTAACTCCCAGTTACCCCTCACCCCGGGCATGACGTGCTGTGGTATGGAATACCTCCCGGGCTAGCCCGGGTCAGGCGCCCTGTCCCTGCTTCCTCACAGCTTCCCCTCCTCCCTGGCAGAGCATGAGCCTCACAAAGTCCTTGGTCAGGGTAAACATCACTTAGCAACAACCGAAAACATCGGCTTCACCAACACTGTTCTCAGGCTGGAAGTCAAAACACAGCACTGCACCAGTTAACACAAAGGAAAAAACGTGACTGCTACTGCTGAACCCAGGACAAAACTGAATTATTAGATGTTGCTTTTTCTCTGATAAACTGAGAGTGAAAGGAATAATTACCTTGTTTTGATGAGTGAACTGAAGAAGAATGACATAGAAGTCTTACGGGAAGGCATACGTGAGAACTAGGCTGTCATGTTAACAAGGTGATTTTATTCATGTGATGAATTTTTCAAACAGTAAGTGGTCTGTAAACTATACTGATATTTTTTTTTGAGGAACACAAGCTTCTTTTGGCTATCGTGTAATGGAAAAATATTGGAATAAATGTAAAATTTTGATAGTGCAGCTATTTTATGAAAACTCTTGAGTCATTCCAAGCTGTTGTTATTTTTGCATTACATGTGTCTGCAACAGAGTACGTTTTATACCAACCATAGACTGTTCTGCAAGCATAGTTGAGTAAAAGATGTGTTTGAATTATAAGTACTGGAGTTAGCATCGTATTCTATAGAAATTCCGAGATATTTCTGAAGAGAAAAGAGAATGGATTTGAGTGACCTTATCTGAATATAAAAATATGTGAGTGAGCAACTGTATTTTCAGAATTGCTTTTATCTCAGTTACGTAAAGAGCTGCTTAATCTTTTCCATTTAACTTCTACTTTTAATTGCAATGTCTTTAATTGCGGTAACAGATGTTAAGATACTTCGAGTCTTTATTCAAAGACTGATCTTTCCTCAATAAGTTATGTGTATTTGGTTTATATCCAAAACTTTTAACCGGAAGGATGACTTGAGTTTCGGTTACATTAAAAACGTTGAAAGTCTTTGAATTGTTATTTGCGAAGCTGTATTCTATAGCTTCTGAGAACTGAAGAAAATTACATATCCGTGGAATATTTTGTAGTATTGGGCTGTTAAGTCATATGTGCAAGATAGTAGGTTTTAAAGGACTTTCACGTTCTCTTTATTATTAAAGAGCAAAACCAGAATTAGTCTTTCTGCTGAAGAAATGCACAGTTCTGCTCCTTGTAGGTCTACACTCATATTTGTCCAGAAACGACCATCTTGACCTTGCATTTTAATCTGAGGCTCTTTTAGAGAGCCTCTGTTTTTCTCATAGTGCCTGTAGGTAAATTTCCAATCAACAGTGTAATTGCTTCATAAAAGAATATTGCATGTAAGAAAAATATTTATTAATTCATTACATTTTGTTGCCCAAAAATTGTGTGCATCTGGCTGTTATGTTTGTTCCTCATGTTGCTACTGCTATATGAATACTGTTATTAAATCCTGAATAGCAGATGTCAAATGTGGTGGTTATTAAGAAGTTTACACTTTTCATGTAATTTTAACTTTGGTAGTAAGTATTCACTGTTTGTAAAACTAACTTCATTATTTCTCAAAAAAGAGAGTACAGTAAAAACACAAAACAAGAAAAAAGCTTTTCTAATGTTTTCCTTCTAATATAGAGACTACTGGGATTAGTGTCGAGGAGTAGGCCAGTGGTTTTGACATGTTTTGAGAAAATGTTTATTGAGTAAAATGTGTACAAAGCAAGATGACACTTGTTCTGGCCTGGAATTTTGTGTTCTAAATATTTGCAATGATGTGCCTAATGTCCAGACAGCAGTTACTTCTCAGACAGAAATTATAAGCAGACAGAAAAAGAAATTTGCCCTCTGATACGTTTATTTTTATATAATAAAAATTTATAATAGGGATAATGAAGAAATCTACTACTCTGATTAAGGTAAAAGAACTATGTAAACACATCCTTTATTAGTCCGGGTGTTTCCAAGGAACAAAATTATGCATATTTTGATACTTCTTTGTCTGAGTTTTTTCATTATTCAACCACTGTATCTATTTTGCAGATTCTGAAAATGGAATGGGGAGGAGAGTATTCTCTAGATTCTTCCAATTTAGACTGTTTGTTGGATGTCCTTCCTACAGAACTGGAGTTTCACCAAATCCTTAGTGATCTTGATGAAAAAATAAAGAAGAACTCTTCTAGGTAAAGAGTATTTTATTTGTATCCGAAATACTAGTGAAAGTCATTGCATTAAAGAAGAAATATGGCTTTTGTCTTTTGTTTCTAGTTGTAGGTTAAAAGTTTTATAATTATTTTACTAGTAATTTTACCTTAACCACTTGAGCATTTAAGAAATGTTTAATGCCATATAATTTTTGTGCTATATTTTTTCTCTCAATGGAATTTTTGACTGTTGAATCATCTTAATCTTAGGAATTACTGGAGTAGGTGTGATAGTGGAGGAAGAAAATGTGTAGTCCCATGACAGTTGTATTTCCTACAGCTGTGAGATAGAACTTTAATCACTGAAAGACCTGCAGAATTTTAGAAGAAGGCAAAATTTGAACCGCATATGTTCTTTAAGCTTTTCTAGTGGAAGTAGAAAAAGCAAGGAAGTTAATATGTGTAATCGGTGCTACAGAAACAGTGGAGTGCTGAAAGACTTCTTTGTTGATGCAGACTTTTCTCACCATTACAAAAATATCAGCTCAAGATTTCATGCCTTATTTAAAAACAGTGGCGGTGTTTTGTGGCTAAGCACTTTAGTACCTTTAAAATACTTTGAAAGATGCTCTCAGGCAAATTGCCCGTTTTGGTGTCAGAGATACAATAAATATCATAATTTTTGTGTTAAATTTTGAAAATGCTTGCCTTTGGATAACAGTGCATGTTACAGAGTTGTATGACCTCAAGGAAATAATCTTCAGATGATATCTGTTTTACAATTGTGTCATTTTGAAGCCCACATTTCTGAGAGGTCTTTGTCTGCTCCCAGACAGCTTCCTGAAGAATGGAAATAAACCATTGCTATATATCACTGAAAATTGATTTAGGCTATCTCTGAATTATTGCTGTATTGTTTATGCCAGACTTGAGACATTTTTCAGCCTTTTTATTTGTATTATTCTTACCTCATATTTTGAACATTCTCATTTAAAAATAGTGTTTATAAAAGCAGTTCTGATAGTAATAATCTGAGGGTAACAATAATAGTGAAGATCTGGGAAATAGGCTATTGTGGACCACCACATACTGCAATTTCATAGAGTCATATTACAATTATCCAGCTGTTGACATCAGTGAAATGTAGATGCTTACTCAGAGTTTTGTTGATGCCATAATACAGTAATAGGTACTTAAGTTTTGAGTACTTAAGTTTTAAATTTTTTGGAATGCCATCCAGAGGGACCTGGACATGCTTGTGAGGTGGGCTGATGCCAGCCTCATGAAGTTTAACCATAACAAGTGCAAGGTCCTACACCTGGGTCAGAGCAGTCCCAGGCACAGCTACAGGTTGGGCAAAGAAGAGATTCAGAGCAGCCCTGCGGAGAAGGACTTGGGGGTGTTGGTTGATGAGAAAATGAACATGCGCAGGCAGTGTGCGCGTGCAGCCCAGAAAGCCAACCGTATCCTGGGCTGCATCAAAAGGAGCGTGACCAGCAGGTTGAAGGAGGTGATCCTGCCTCTCTACTCTGCTCTCGTGAGACCTCACCTGGAATATTGTGTGCAGTTCTGGTGTCCTCAAGATAAAAAGGACATGGAACTGTTGGAACAAGTCCAGAGGAGGGCCACGAGGATGATCAGGGGACTGGAGCACCTGCAGTATGAAGATAGGCTGAGAAAGTTGGGCTGTTCATCCTGGAGAAGAGAAGGCTGCGTGGAGACCTCATAGCAGCCTTCCAGTATCTGAAGGGGGCCTATAGGGATGCTGGGGAGGGACTCTTCTTTAGGGACTGTGGTGACAGGACAAGGGGTAACAGGTTAAAACTTAAACAGGGGAAGTTTAGGTTGGATATAAGGAGGAAATTCTTTCCTGTTAGGGTGGTGAGGCACTGGAATAGATTGAGCAGGGAGGTTGTGAATGCTCCATCCCTGGCGGTGTTCAAGACCAGGTTGGACGAGGCCTTGGGTGATATGGTTTAGTTTGGTGTCCCTGCCCATGTCAGGGGGGTTGGAACTTGATGATCTTAAGGTCCTTTCCAACCTTAACTATTCTATGATTCTATGAGTTTCTATGGTCTTGTATATCTGGGAAAAAAAATATCAGCATTTTTGGCAGTTGCTGTGTCACCTCTTCAGCTACAAAATAAAGGTGATATTGTCATAATTATGCAGAGCCACCTCAAGAGTTAGAAAGATTATTATGAAGATGAGTCTTTGGAATGCATGCTTTACTACTATTTTTGGTTTTAATTTGTGTAAGATGTTTGCTGCTGGTTGAGAAAATCTGGGCTGTGGGAAAGCAGGCCAGATGCTCACTCCTTTTAATGCTACTTTATATTAACATTTTATGGTACATTTTACATTAACATCATCACAGTGGAACTGTTTGTAATTTTTTAAGGCTGATTGTCCCTGTCTTAGTGCCTTCTAATTTGTAGGTCCATGTCCTTTCACTGTAGGTTTTATAAGATCAAAATGGTATTTTATGCAAGGGCAGCAGGAAAATGGATTAGGGAGTGGTACACAGCAACGCATGCCTGGAAAAGCTTTGTATTTCTGCTGAATTGACACTTAAGGTAGTTTTCAAACTAATTTTCACAAGCAAAATCAGAAAGTAGCCCTGTAGTTACCAGGTGATATTTTGCTCCTGTAATATGTCAGTTTCAGAAATGGAGAGGAGTTTAAAAGAAGATGGACAGCAGCTGATATGACTTTTAAATTAAAAAGAGTCCTTTTATTGCTAGTATATTAGAGGTAGCATGGAGTGAAATCATTTTCAAGTTACCATTGATCTTTGTAAGTCGTATGATAAGAGCAGCTCTATGCGCTACAGTGATACAACTGGAATACAATCCATTTTTCATCAGATAGATTTATGATTTTATTGTGCCGCAGAGAATAAACATAATCATATACAGCATATATATATTTTTAAAAAAATAAAACATTGTGTAAAGAATTATGATCCAAAAGTGTGTAAATCATTTGAATGTTCATTTATTGCCTTCCAACTGAATAGCTTTTATGAAATTGTGTGACACCACAAATCAGATATGCTTTCCAGCAGTTGAATTACCTTCACTATTTTTGTATCGTACCAGTTCAATTTGGTACTATAACAAAAGAAAAAAAAAGAAAAGGCCATCTGTGTGAGATCATTTTATTTGTAAGTTTTAAGGGAGTAAGTGCCACTATTCCATTAACAGAGCCCTTATTACACTTGAATGTTAACTATTTTTGCATCAGTTTGTAGAAGCAGGTGATTATGAACTCTCAAAACTATTGTCACTGCTGGCCAGTTTTGTGTGCAAAGCAGGTTACTTGCTGATTTTGTTTTCATGATTTCATCAGGATGGCCATTTGCTTTTAGTCTTTCCCTTGCATTTGCCTTGGCTTTTACTGTTAATCAAAACTCTTTGGATTTTTTTTTTTTTTTCCCCCTAATTGGAGGATTAAGAATTAGTAAGAGTTAATTTTTGAGCAATCCACAGAACTAAACTTTCAGCTGGTATTTAATATTTCTAAGCAGGAAACAAGGTACAGAGCTTGAAACCAAGCTTATAGCACATAACTTGAAAGTGACTGTAAACATGAAATCTGTTCAGCAGTTGGGGTTTTTTTTGTGTATTCAGTTCTTAGTCAAGCTATGAAAAAAATGTTATCATACACACAAACAAACCTGTATTATTAGCACAGCAGCTTTACTTTCTGGCTTTGTCCTGTGCTGTTGGGGTCACCATTGTAAAGAACATAAAATATTAACAGGATTTTTATCCGTTTATACAGTTGGGTTACTGAGAGTGAAAAAATGGACATGCCAGAAAGAATAAGTTGATGGCCAAATAGACTAAAATGGAACAATGTAAACATTCTAGAACTGAAACTATAATAACCTCTTCTTTTTTCCAGAATTTTAGAAATCCTAAGAGATACATTGTACCATGAGTGTTACAATAGGTTATCATAAGCATTGAAGGAACATGCAAGATGATAAACAGCCATTTTTGATAAAATCTCTTGTTTCTGTTCAAGATAAGATTATCAAAACATTCTTTGCATGAATTTTTATGGTTTTGTGGGGTGTTTTTTTTCAGTTAGATTGTATCTATAATTTTAAAAGTTACTAGAAAGTAAGTTATTTATATTTTTGGTTAAATTCCTGCATCATCAGCAATACCCACATGAAATTTTCTGTAGATCATGGGAAATTTTCTTACTGTTTCTCTTTTGGCAGCTCAGTTTTCATGAAATAAGCCAAAATGCTTGGTTATCATGGAGAAATTGTAACAATAAAAATGCCTGTGGGTGTTATATTGGTAAAAGTCTCTCTCAAAAATTTTTTACTACTCTGACACACAGGTTTATAAATGATATGACTGATTTTTTGCAAAATGGTTTCTAGTGTTCAAGCTTTTTAATGAATACACATGATAATAATAAAGTAGCATTATGCTACTGTTTCTTCAAAACACAGTGGAAACAAGAATTATTTTTGAGCCAATTGTCTCTTCTTAATAGGAGACATGTAAACTGGTTTTAAAAGCAGATCTCCATGAATATGAGGATCTTAAGCATAAGTAACATGAGGTTTAAAGATAATTTCACTTTATAGCTTAGCAGTTTAATTTAACCAATCTCATTGTCATTTTTATGGCTGCTCCATATGTTATGTGAAATAAATTGAAATGGTGCTTGTTAGAAATTGAAAGGAGTTAGATCATCCTTCAGCTTACTTATAGTATTCTTAGGAAATGGAAAATAAGAAATGGAGATAGCAACTCTCATCTTGATACTGTGCTTTTCAAAATCATCTTCTATCAGTATAACAGTGCTTACACTATCAGTTCCATTATAAGTACATGGCTTGTTACTGTCCATTGGTGCAGCCATGTAAAAAGCAGTCTCTCCACATGATTTATTCCTAAAAACTGTCATTAACTTAATAAATAATAGCACCTAGGTGTTCTCAAATTGAGACTGCCTCTCTACAGTGGGAATACTTACCAAATGAAATAGACATGCTGCTCCAGAAAAGCACTCCAGTGTGGAGACAGACAACATAAGAGAGCTTATGCTTAGCTTATAAAACAGCCCAAAACTGAACTGTAAAAAGGAGTAACAATTTCAGTGAAATCATTTTCACTGGCTTAGTGGTATACCAGTAGTGCTGACCACAAGCACTGATGTGCCTACAAAGGCTCAAGGTACTTCTTGCGTGGGACAAAATATTTCTTTCTTGAAAAATCAGGCAATTTTACAAAAATCCGTATAAGCCTAAGTATCATTTCTTTTCTACAGAGAAAGATTAATTTGTCTTTGAGATTTTATATTCCACTGCTTGTTTAATAGTTTGGTGACTATTTTTTTCTGTGTGTCTGAACAGTTCCACAGGTTCAGAAAAAGTGGAATTGTCTCCAGAAGAAAAATTGATAAATTGATAAATACCAGGACACTATCTGCCTTGAGTCCATGTGTTATAAACTGCTAGAGATGATGAAAATAATCTGAAAAATCTTCAAATATTAGAATCATCATAGAATCATGGAATGGTTTGGCTTTGGAGAGACCTTAAAGCTCATCCGGTTCCAGCCCTCTGCCACAGGCAGGGACACTTTCCACTAGACCAAGTTGCTCCAAGCCCCATCTAACCTGGCCTTGAGCACTGCCAGGGATGGGACAGTCATAGCTTCTCTGGGCAACCTGTGCCAGGGCCTCAGCACCCTCACAGCGAAGAACCTTATAGATGTTGACCAGTGTTATTACGACTTTTTTTCCTAAATACTTTCTTAATACATGCATTCAAAATATTTACAATATTCTCCAATGATTAAGTTTCATAAGTTAAATATTTTTTTCTTATGATTTTTATTTTATTCTTTTTTTGGCATCTTCTAATGACCACTGTCAGAGACTCAAGATCTTCCATCTGACCAGGAATAGGCAAGTTTCCAATGGAAGAATTAGGCACCTTCCAGTTAGGTTCAGCAATATCTCAAAATTGGTATGAGCAGGCAAAACATGAATTGTGTGCCTTGCCTTATCATTAAGGTTTAGTGTTTCAGAGGGTGTTTCAGAAAACATACATACAGAGCATAGGACCAGTTAACAGCAGTAGGGAAAAAGCATTAAGTACTGTAATGTGTCTAATTTGGGGGTTGCACGCACACACGTTGTATTCTTCCATTGACTGCACATGATTTTAAGATGATTTATGCTTCTATCATACATGTATAGTATCAATTGATATCAGCTGGGTTGATGACTCAATTTGTTAAAGAATGGAGCTTATTTTCTGCACTGAACTTAACAAAATATATTTGCATTTAATGAAAAACTATTATTTGTGGGGAAAAAAGGAAACTAGCGCTTTATATAGCTTTTTGTAATTGTACTTTTAAGAGTGAAATTCATTAAATACATTAAGCACATTTTTCATACCAGAAGTAATGTTTATGTTTACAGTTTTGAAAACTCTAGCACATAACCTAAGAAAAGGAACTCAAAGTCTCATTCTCCCTACACTAATAAGAAATTAGAAAGTTTTAAATACTACCTTCCATAGTGAGGATAATTTTAATCCTATTTGTCAGAAGGTTGTTTTTTTTTTTAATTATTGAGTTTTAAACCCAAATAATACTTCTTTTTTTTTTTCCCCAGAGGTAACCAAATTCCTAAATATTTAATTATGTAGCTAATGTGAAGGAATAAGTACCTGTAGTTAACTGTGTTCTTGTAATACTAAGTGTTGAGAAAAATCTTGAAAGAAATAGCAGTGTTTCGGAGACCATGTTTACGTGCAGTATACTGGAAGCAAAAATATTTTTATTCAGTCAAAACCAGTTTTAGTCCTAATTCATTGTTTACTTTATTGGGATAAAAAGATTAAATAAAATGAGCAGACTTACTGTGATTTGTACCTACGGGGAGGGTCACTGAAATTTATCCCTTTAATACCCTTATCAGTGTTGGGACAAATTACCAAAATATCCAGCTTTGAGAAAGCTGTCGCCTACTCACAGGTTGGAGTTTATTGGCTAGCACATAGATTCATATGTCAAAGATGAGTGTAAAAAATGGTTTGTAATTGAAGAAGATTGACAGAGACTAACAACAGCAGTCTCTTACAATTCATAATGCTGTAATCTACTTGGGTATGTTTGAATGAGACACGTAAGCACACCACAATAAAAGCCTTTGGTGTTGTCTCAGCAAGTCCAGGTGTATGAACAGGGCATTCAGTTTTCTAGTCCTGAGAGCTGGTTTCACAAGTTAAAAAAACAGATACCAATAATTTATCAAGTTCAGAATTGGCATTCATGGCTGGACAGTCCTATCTGGAACCTGAGCCAGGCCACAAGCAGGGAGCAGTTGCTTTTCATGGAGATCCTTTCTGCTCCTGGTAAATCCATGGATGATAGAAAGATACTTATTCCAGTACACTTCATTTTGAACTCAGTCATACTCAGGATTAGGTCTTTTACATCAATTTTATAGAGGTGTTTTACAGGCCATCCATGTATTCATAAATTTTAAAACTTTTTTTTTTTACATTTTATCATCAGTTGTAGTTACTGAAATTGATTTCTGAAGGTAATGAAGCTGTAAAATGTTGTGACTTCATTCTGTTAAAGTAGGTACCCTTTGAATGGTTTACTTAATGTCTTTTAAGTGTAAAGCAAATATACCCATAATTCTTAATGAATAAAGTTAAATATGGGAAAATAAGATGTTCAAAATGACCTACTTATTTTGATGATTTTTTTTTTTAGAAGGTTTATGGTCATAGTTTTGGAAACTATTTATTTATTTTCTGACATTCAAAATGCTACACTTCTTCTGCACTTACATTCTTACGATTGTCCATGCATTCTATAATTAGAGTTGATGCAGTTTTCATATTTAGCTTGTTATTGTTTAGTACTGTATTTTCAAGAAACAAAAGGCACAAAGCAAAACCTATCATAGCTAATTCTGGATGTCATTCTCAGAAAAAGTATACTTCTCTCTTACGTGTTTGTTGCAGGTAAGTTAAAAATAAAAGGAAATAACAAACTACTGTTTATCTCTGAACTTAATTTAGTGTAATCATTTGCTTATTTTTTTACACTGTTTTTAAAAAATGTCTATTCAAACATTCTCAGTTTCCCAAGGTATGGATGACACTGATTTACTTAATTGCTGTTGATCAGAATGAGGCAGCTAATGGGAATTTAGGGTAGATTGCATAACATCTGCAAAAGAGTGAAATACAAATCACTCAGTAAAAGAGAGACTCCAGTAGAAAATCAAATAAATGCTTCTTCCGCATCCTGAAAGCAGTACTGCAGGCAGAATTAAATGAAGTCAAGTCAGTTAGTGGGTGATATGCAGAATGCATCTTATCACTGATTTCTTCTACAAATTGTTACGGGTTAGTAGTATTTAATTTTTTTTTAATTTCATATTCAAAGCCAATTATATTTTTCATAAAAATATTTTCCTCAAAGAATATCACATTTTATGGAAAATTAATCTTTCCACACAGAGTTGTTATGCAGGAAAAAAAATTAAAACTTTACTCGGGGTTACTAATTTAAAAAAGTTTTCCTTTTTTTTGTTTTTTTTTTAAACTAGAAGTCTTTAATTTGGTATTTTGTCCCAGCCTGTAATGCGCTTAAAGATTTTGTTTGTTCTCCAGTTTCTTTTCTTCCCTCTCCTCTCATTCTCCTTTTCTTCTCTTCCTTTTCTCTTTTAAAACCTTCTCTAGTCTGCTTTTGACGAAAATTGTCAAGTTTGAAAATGTTAGAGAGCAGTTAAAGAAAAAACAGCCATACTTCATCTCTACAAAATAAGAGTGGCAAGTAGCAGTATAATAGACGTTTGTTGTTTTGTTGTTGTCATGAAAATAGAAGGTAGCATGATCAAAAGTATTTGACACTGAAATACCTGTTAAGAGCCAAGTCTCATCTGATCCCATATCTCTGCGCAGATAGAAAGTACTAAATTTGTATTAAACCTTGCATCCATTTATGTAAGAATATAAATGGAATAACTAATGCAGTCCAAAATGAAGTTCAAATAGTAGTGAGAATCGCTTAGTACTTCAATAAACCAAAACTAGCAACAATTATATTGTTGGCTGTCCTTGTATTAATCCTAGATCTGCCTAGGTATAGTCAATACTGCTTTTCTAACTGAAACTGTATAAAATATCAAGCATTGTTTAAAAAAAAAAAAAAAAAAAAAAGTCATTCTGAAATATTGAAAAGGTGGTTTTGTTAGAAAAGATACAGACTTAATTTGTTTCTGGATTTGTTGTTGTTGTTTTCAGTCTCCACACAACTAGAAATAAAATAATTTTGGATATTCAGTTGTTCTTGCAAGTTGTCCAACTGAAATTCCTGTAACAACTGTAACAGCCACATCTGATTTCATAAATAGGGTGATCATTCTAGGTGAATCTTGCGGAGCGGATCAGCGCCTTGAAAACAAACTCTGTTTTCTTTCAAATACTCTAATGACAAAAACAAGAAAGAAAAGATCTGCTTTCTCAGCACAACTGACTCCAAAATTCTTTTCAGCATTTTCTGTGATGTCAGTGAGTTTTTCAGAAGTTGTTGATATATGTTATGTATTATGAAACAACTGCTGATTGCTAAAAGAGCAAAATGACAAATTCACCTTTTGAATATAGTAGTTGACTCAGGTTATGTTCTCTCTTTTAGCTAATTAAACACCAAGGACCAGATCTTAGGTTCGATGAAGTCTTATTCACTGACAACAGCATTGAGAAGTACAAGATTGTTGGAGAAGTGGGGTAGTACTTACTGAGGATGGTGCAGTCTGTCCTAAAGGAAATTTATGTTAGCTCTAGCTCAACTGTATTTAAATATTAATCCTGCAAATAAGTCAGGCCTTATTTTGCAAGACTAATTTAATCTATGAAGAAGGACTAGTGTTAACATTAATTTGATGTAGTTTTTCAAATATGGAGTACATAAAATGCTTTTATCTCCAAGTCTTGAAAAAAAATTCTGTTTTTTTTTTTCTTTTTTTTAGCATAGACCAGTGTCTTAAAGACCTGCAATCAGAAGTAAATGAACTATGTCCTGATGAAATACTGCAAAGCACAACTGACTGCCTTCAGTGGCTAAACAACTGCAATTTTAGTTCTCTCAGACCTTGTCCTACAAACCATGGAGAGCTGATGGAGTTCCTTAGGACCCTGGTAAAAAGACTTCACTGTTTGGAAAGTTGTTTATGTGATGAGGAGGGGGGAGCTAAGGTTAATTAGGATTCTCACTTCAGTCTTCGCTGTCCAGAATTTTTATTATAAGGCTTAGTACTGGGTTTATGTCTGCAGCAGGGAGTTTTGGTTCCTTTTGGTCATGCCTTAAATAAACAAACTTGGGACAAAATCTTTTCACTGATACTACCACATGTTCAGCACTGCTAGGACTGTTTTATGAACACATGTTGGTGAAAAACATCTGAAGTTACTGTCTACCCTGAGGCTGTTGCTGCTTGTTCTTCACTTGCATCAGTATAATTTAATTCCTCTAATACAGATTATTGTTCCTGGTACATTATTTAAGTGTTAATTATCTGTCTACTTTTTGTTATTAGACGTGTGGGAGCTACATCCTTTGTTCTGGCAACTTGTACAACTAGATATAACCAGAAATCAAATTTCACTCAAATAAATCATCATTTTAGAAGCCATTTGTATCCAAAATTTTTTATCAAAAGTTAACCTTAGGAAATACCTGTGGAAAAAGAAGTCTGGGAAATTGAATTAGCTAGATAAATGAAGGGTGATACCTTGGTAAATGACAGCCTGCAAATATATGTATAAACTATGTATGTGTGTGTTCAGATGACGTAAATATGTATGAGTGTCAAAACAAATAAATGGTATCCAGCAGGTTTTTCTTTGTCACTCCCATGTCATGGTTTAGTTATAGGCCATGAACAGCTTTAGATTAAGATTGGCTGTATTGGCAGAGGGAAACTGCTGTGGAGAAGTGGAGTATTTTGTCCTTTGGGACTACCTCCTGGCTAGAGCTCAAGCTTCATCAACTCACCTCTTGTTTTTTCAGCTCTTTCTTAAAGGGGGTTGTTGATCTTTCATTCACTCTTTAATCGACTGAATATTAAGCTGTGTCAGTTGAGGAAGTCATCTCTAGAAACACCAGGTCTTTAATGTTTGTGCAGTGAAGATTTTTGTCGTCTTCTAAGACAGTCTGAATGTTGCTGTTAATAATCATCACACTCAAGGATGTCTGAGATTCCTTGATGCCATACTTCATCTAGAAAAAATAAGAGAATCCCAGGAAATGCTGACTTACGAAGTCTTTTTGTTACTCCACTTTCTCCAGTTAGCTCCTTACATGCTCCGAAGAGGGCATGGCAATGATGACTTCTGTTCATTCCTTGGTCTCTCTTCTTAAGAAATGTCTGTTCAAACCATATACCTGAACACCAGGTGGCGGCATTTGTTTGGGAAACACTAAAATGGCCGCATCTCTGCAATACTTGGGGTATCTCTTACAGAAAATGTGCTTTCTAGCTCTTTGGTTTACCAGGAGTTTACTGGCTGCGTAACAGTCTGGATGTGGGCTTTGGAGTACAGTTAGTCCTTGAGAATGGCTCTGTGGCAGGCTGCTATGTGGACAGCAAAGGGTGAGAAGACTTAAAGTCTCAATTCTGCACAGTTTATCAAGAAAACATCAGGGACTCAGGAGCTTGGACGTCACTGTTTCCAGGCTCAGGATAATCCAGCCTCTTGTGTAGATGAGACTACAGGTGAAAAGTGTACATGTATTAGCATAGACAGTCCCATCTGTAAGAAGTTATACTTGCAGTAGATAATCTTTAGTTCCATAAACAATTTTGCAGTAAACTGGTTTCAGTAATATCCAGCATTAATGAGATTATTACTGTCTGACCTTTCTTAAATATGTATCTTCATCCATTGAAATAATTACTCAGTTGACTGAATTTCTCACTAGCAAGCTTTTAATTAAGTATCATATAATTCATATTCAGTAATAATAACTTGCCTTCTACTTCAGGAAAATGTCCCTAATCATTGTTATCCTTTACTATGTGTGTTTAATGTGCTATGGATTTTGTTTATCTTTTAAGCTATTGGAACAATTAAAAAAATAGTGGAGAGTTCCGTATGTGCTTTAGCTGAAGTGCTGTATTTAGATTTATTATTAGTGTGGTATTTTCATGCATTTGTGAACTGTCATGCAAATACTGAGAGGTTCTTTATGAAACCCAAAAATCTTAATTATGTGTATTTTCATCCTGTATGCTATTTTACAATTCTAAATATTTAAAAGCTGAATATGTTTGTGAACCAATCTTCATTAATTTCCGTTCCTGCTAAACTAATGACAAAATCTTTTTAAATGAAATCTTAATTTTATTGTACCTATTTATTGATATGATAGGTAGTAGTCTGTAGTAGGTAGTAGTCCAGTTGGTAGACTGCAGATGTTTTCCTCTATATTATTGTCACTACATTTCTCATAAGACAACTTTTCATGCTTCTCTAAAACTGTTGGATACTAGTTTGGATTATTTTTTTTTTTAATAGTTTTGGCATCATCTTCTGAAGTATTTTTACAGGTTAATTTTTAAATGGGAAAGCCTATCCCAATATAGGGAATGTTCAAAAAGACTTGATGACACTGTTTTCAGAACTTCAGAATTCACTTCAGGGACTTTTTTTCTGAGTAACACTATGTCTAATATGGCATCTTTAAGCCTTAATTTAAGATGCAAAGGACTTGAAACACTGCTTAGGTTCTTACTAGCTTTCAGGAATAAAAATATTTCTGCTTAACCTTAAAAAACAGCAGTAGGGATTTGCTTGGAAGACATTTTTGATTTATCATTATTCCTTATGCATCAGTTACATTCACTGTTATGCCAGCTTCTCGTTTTCTTTATTTCAGAATGTAGTATTTGAGCGTGATTCATTAAAAAAAAGAACAAACCAACATTTGAGCTCTGGAAGCCTACCTGTGGAGACTTGATTGTTCATCACAGTGGTTGCTGATTAGGGTTTCAATTTATACACTGAGGCACAGTCTCTTTGATACCACGAAACTTTATAGAATACTTCAGTAGATAATAACAGAAAATCAAATCAGCCTTACGTATATGCATATTGATATGTATGATTTAGGATTTTAACTAGTTATACATATTTCTGTTATCTGCACATTTTTGTAGGATATTTGACTGATAATTTCCTTTGTTATGCATTCTTCCCCATGTGTTTCCAGCTTGTAAGGAAAAAAATTCATAGGAAACATTCTGAAATAAAGATGTAAAATGGAAGAAAAATAGCTAGTCTATTATTTTTAAGACTTTCTTTTATGGGAGGCAGTATACTCTCCGTCTTTTGTTCAGAGTTAGCTACTGTGGTGCAAGTCTTTTTTTTTTTTTTTTTATTTTCACCATGGCGTATGCCAAAGTAGAGGGCAATTGAAAGGTTAAACTCTTGGTTTCTTCCATGAGAGTGCAATGGTTTTGAATCATCTGAAACAAAGAATTTGAGGTGTGATACTAAAATTTTTTGTGACTCAAAAACATGAAGGGAAAAAAAAAGCCTATTGAAGCTTTCATTCTAAATTTTTTTTTATATTTTTGTGAGTTTTGTGTTGATAAAAGCTTGATACAGTAGAAAAATTGTACAATTTTTTTTTATTTGTTTGGAAATATTTCTGTAGTACCAAATTTGATTTATTTCTCTTTCAAAATTAAAAAAAAAATTATATATTTCTCAAGTACTGTAGGGTAAATAAATGAGCAATTCTGAAGGTGAAGGGTAGCTTGGAGACCCAGATGAAGGCCGTTAGTGGAAAGAACTAACCCTAACTGATTTGCCAGAATGCTTTTCTGTGTTGGAGAGAAGTGGTAGGTAGTAGGTGGCAGGGGAGTAAGGAAGGAGGTTTCTATGTTCTGATTCACGTAAGACTTGCCTGTTTGGTTTCTGAAACCCAGAAAATCAAGAATACCATCATTGTCACTCAGTTTTCTTGTGACTGTGATAGGGAAATTTGTAGGCACCTCTAGTGTAGCTTCAGGATTGAGAGAAGAGCCTTACAAATTTGGCCTAGAACTGTGGCCACATCCAACCTCAAATAGTAAAAATGTTGAAGATTCCGGAAATGTGTTTATAAAAAGTCAGGGTTTTTTGTCTGCAAGCGAAAGAGGATTTTGATAAATTGTTAATGTATTCATCTAAATCTTGATTTGACAGGATACACAGCTTCTTACTCTGCCCTGTGTGATCTAAGCCTGTTCAGTTCTTTGCAAGTTTTCAGTTTTAGTTCTTTAAGGGGGTCCTGAGAAGTTTATTTTATCCTTAGAGTGGCCTTTTTGATGGTTGTTGAGCCAGAACATATAAAGCAGCAATATTTCATTTTATAAATTCCTGTCTTGGTTTGATGAACAAAACCTGTCATTATCTGTATAAGTCTTGAGTCATTTTCATATCATTTTCTTTCGAAGATGTGTGTGCAGACCACAACAGGATGTGAAGTCTTACCTAATGAGCTTTCCAAAGCTTTCCTTTGAATTGCAGTTAGAATTGGTAAAGAGAAGAGTTTGAGGATGTAAGAAGGATGGGAAGATGAATGCGAGTTATTGGAGCAGGTAGAAAAGGAGATGGATTGGCACAGAAATCCATGGAAAAACAAGCTTTCTTATTTCTGTTGCTTATATAATAGTTTCTTATTTGCTGGTAAGATAAGTAGCATTAGAAACCTTTGATACCATAGCATGAAACTGTTTATTTTATGAACCGGAATTAACAGAACATATCTAAAATACTCTGATTTACTTTTCATAGCAAAGCTTGCTGAAGAATGAGCAAAATCAAGAAGAAATGATACTTCACTTCCTTCTGGATCTCTCTAGTCAGTGTGGTGTCTCATTTCCGTGTACTCCAAGTGGGAAGTCTTTTGAGTTAACTTCTTCCCTTCATGCCATTGAGGAGGATTCAGCTATGGATGTGAAATCTCTCTGGGATGATGTGAGATTGCATCTTCGAAGATTTTTAGTAAACAGACTGCATAGTCAAGAAGAAACAGCTACTAATGCTTTAGAACAGCAAATGGAGTTTAAAACTCAGTACATACAGCAACTTCTATTTCTTTACCCTGAATCAGAAATCTTAGCGAAGTATCAAAATATGCAAAAAAGTGTTGTTAGAGATCTTCTGCAAAACTGTATTTTGTCTAGCTGTGGTGAAACAAACTTCGATAAGGTGGTTCATGGTTACCAAAGTTCCATACCTACATTGTGCACAATGATAAAAGAAGATTTGTATCTGCTATGTGGAACTATTGATCCTTCTTCATCACTGAAATTTGTTAATGAAACTTATCTGGTTACCATCACTGAAGAAATGACAGTTCTTCTTGAAAGACTTTGTGAGCTGCAGTTCAAAGAAAATGCTCTACATATAGTTAAGGCAAACAAGATTTCAAAGAAGCATAGAGGAGCAGTTCATGCTGTGGGTTAGTAGCCTTGTTTTTTGTCCATTGTAGTTAGATACTATTTTAATTATACTACTTTTTTAGTGTACATTATTATTTCCAATGAAGGGAGAGGCCTGAGATTGTTAATTGCAGCTTTATGTTTTAATCATATTATTGCAGTTGAATTATAGACTGTTTCAAAACTGGGATGAAAAATGTTTTAAAGTTAGGGAGAGTATCTTGTGCTTATGTATATAGAAACACAGTTATAATTCACTGGATAAAATTGTCACATCATACTAATTTTTTTCAGTCTAACTTACTCCAACTGCTGAAATGTATAATAGAATAAGAACTATTTAATCCGGCTTTAAGAGAATTCAAACTCCTCTGCTGTCTACACCCTCGTTTTCAAGCTTAAAGGATATTATAGGAAAGTCTGTACAATAATGCCACCATAAAATAGACAGATTTGTACATCAGAGCAGACCCAAAAGATTACTATACAGATTCTAAAATAAATAATATGTTTTCTAATCTTGTGAAAATACAGTAAATCAGTGTTAATGCTACCTGGTTCTTTCTTCTTGTTCTAAGGAATTTAAGGCAGGAAAGGAGTCTGTTATAGGTGTGATATTTTCTATACTTTTCACAGTTGGTGAGTCTGACATGTAAATTTATAAAAAAGGAATCAGAACTTTAGAAAAAAAGTCATACAGAATGGAAATTTTCATCACGTAGTTCAATATGCAAGAGCTGTTTGTTCAAAACATAGCCTCCGATAAAGGTGAAGTAGTTTGCAGACAAAAAACATTAAAAGTTTAGAATCATGTGAAAAATAGAGAAACCAAAGATAGATCTTTGGGTAGTACAACATACACAAAAGGTGAGTGGGGTGATTATTTGCTAGCTCTACACAGAATAAAGTTACTCTCTTGTGAGTTTTAAAGTCAATATACATGTTAGTGTCAGTCAACTAGAAATTACACTGGAAGAAATGCAGAAATAACTTTTCAACAAGAGCTGAAGTATGGAGAAGTATGTGGAACATACGTAAGAGAAGGTAAGTGAGAAGGCATGCAGACAAATTATGTGGAAGGGTGAGAATTTTAACATAAAGTTGATATATTAGTGGGATGGAGTGTTGGTGGGAAGCAAGGAGAAGTAGTGTGAGGGTAAACTTGAGTTATGAAAAATGACTGGAAGTGTATCTTTGAGTCACATAGTGAGATGGGTCACAGTGAAAGGATTCGTTGACAAAAAAATGACTGATATGGAACTGGAAGTTTTTAAGTTTGTTTTTCTTTCAATCTCAAAACAGCTCACAAAGATAGGGAAGTTCTGTTATCTCCATTTTGCATCTAACGCATGCAGATTAAACTGATTTATAGTCAGGGTGGCTCTCTATAGAGGCACACGTTAACTGTTTCTGTATCTATTAGGATAGTCTTGATTCTTCTACTTAAATTTTCTAGTGAAATAGTCTAGGTTCTTCTACTTAAATTTTCCTTGCCACAAGATGTGTCTTTACATGCTGTTGTGCAGCAAATCAGGACAGATTTCCACAGTTCTGTTATACATTCAGAGAAAAAAGAGGAAGATAAAAAATTAAATCTTGGTACCTGCTTGCAACTTTGAAAGATTTACTTTAATTTGAAATATATTAAAGGTCAGATTTGCAGGTGCAGCAGCTATCCTCTTAGCTCTCATAAAATGTGTTTAGAAGTGGTGCTGGTTAATATCATTTAATCCTCAAAATTACTTTCTTCACAGTGGCTGTAACACTCATGTTTTCACCTCTGCACTGTGTACTGCTTCATACTGTTTTTCTTCAGGAGGTTGGTCTGGGAGGCAAGCATTGATTTCCTTGCAATCTCTTTTACTAGTTTTCTACAGCATCAGACTGTTCTAGATGATCTCTGGTTATAGGCTGCAGGCAGCCAAACAACAGAACAACAGTGAATGACGTCAGCAGGCTAGAGCAAAATAGGGGTCAGAGTTGTGAAGTAACACAGGATTATTTTTTTTTTTTTCATTTGGTTGACATGACATAGGCTATTATTTGTTGTTATTTATAAATTCAAGCAACATTTATACTTGTATCATTAACAAAACAATTATTGAAAAGTTTATGTGTATTATTGAAAATGCTCTTCTATGAAGAACTTTTTCTGGAAAAAAATTTCTTTTACAAATTTTTGAATATGCTACATTTTTACTACACTAAGTCAGAAGAAGGCTCTTTTCCTTTGGAATTAGAGTGTTCACGTGGCAGTTCACACTGAAATAACTATTCTGGAAAAAGTTCGACAGAGTAACTGGTTTTGGAGTTTTATAGTGGTTGGCAGGTGCTTAGCGGCTGTTGCTGCTTGGAATTCGTACTTAATTCTGATACCTTTGCTACCCTCCCACAATTGAGAGTGGACATCTGTACTTATACATCAGTGTGGTTAAAAGACAGTTTTAATAAGTTGACTGTGATACCAAATCTGTTGAGTATTGAAAAAGAAAAAAGCATGCTGGAGTATGTATGGAAGGGGAGAAAAGGAAGAAAAGAGTTTCGTTTTTTTTCTTAGTTGAGAGACAGTTATACAAATCTGTTTCTTGTTTTCCTTTTTTTTTTTTTTTTTTTTTTTAATGCATGTTGCTTCTGCCTGTGGGAACCACCAAAGCAGTATATTTCAGAACAGCAAAATAATCTAATCTAGGGAGTTCAATTGGAACTGTTATCCCGGAGGTGAAAAAATGATTTGTGCTTACTTTGTCTACCCTCAGGGAAATGTGGTATTTTGTTTGTTGAGTTGTATTTGTTGGTTTTTTTTTTGCGTTCATTGGTTTGGTTGATTTTTTTGTAAGTCCTGCTGTAATTGATCCTACTACATAGGAGAGTAAAAAAGTAACATAAAATAATGAGCAATGTTATAACCTCAGAAAACTTTAGATGACCTATTTCTGTCAGGAAAATACAGGCAGACTATAACAAGGTTTGACAGCATTATGAATCTTTAAAGTATTTCATTTATAACAATCTATTTGTGAAGGAATTAACATTCTTGTTTTCATACTGTATTAGAACAGTTCTTTGTCAAGTACTGTAATGAGATTGTATCCATTTATCAAGATTAAGGATGAGCATTGTTTTAGAGATAAGCTAGGAAAATGGGAAAAGAGGAAAATTCTTTGCAGCTTGGCGTCTTTAATTGTTAACTTTAGGAGGCAGGTGGTTTTATGGTATAACTTTATCCTGTTCCCTCTTAAGTCAGTGATTCTATTTTAACAGTGCAGGTTTTACAAACTCTTAGTGTTTTGGCTAAGTTATTGTAATAGGTTTTTTACCTAGTATGGGTCTTAATTTCTCTGTGCTATGTGTACTCTGAGCACATAATTGGTGTTTCTGATTTGCTAAAATGATATCCAAGAAATGATTCTTACTCGTCTTACATTTTTGATGTAACTTTGTAAGATGATGTTTCAGCCTTTATGTCATACTAATCATATGTGTCTTTCAAAAAAATATGTAATGTTACAGTATTTAAAAAACTAACAACATTATGTATCTGTTAACATAGTATGGGAAAAAACACGCAAGCAGCTGGTTTACAGCTTATCTCTTATGATTTTTTGCTTCAATTTCCAGTGTGATGTTTTTCAGAAATTATTTGCATAAAGTCTATTAAATGTGGATTATACTTTTACCTTTTGAACCTTTTTCATGATTCTTTGTTTACAGAAATGTTAAGCTAGTTTAATTGGGCATTACTAAACTATCCTAATCCTTCATCTTTTTTACATGAAGGCACATCTGCTTTTATAAGTGATATCAGCCAAAGAAACTTAAAACCCACGAAATTATACATGTTTTATATATTTGTGGAAGGTTTTCTTTGGTATTATTTGTTTCTGTTTTTTTAATATATCTACAGAGAGAGTGTAAATGTATGTGGAGACTAATTAGCCTGTTTTTAAATTTCATATGGTTAAAACTAAAAGAGATTAGAGCCATGAGTTTTATTTTTTGTGACATACACTAATTAATTGCCTTCATATTTATATTTAGTCACAAACTTACCAGAGATCCTTAAATAGGCTCTCATATCTAATGATCTAATAATCAATAGTTGATTATTTTTAAGAAAATACTATTCCAAAATAGAGTAAAACTGAAGTGGCACAGATGTGACTAAGTATATTTTAGCTACAAAGTAATTAAATTACCTTTACTGATATATTTTAATACTTATATTTTACACTTTTATTCCAGTATGTAACCCTCTTATGTGTCCAGAAGGTTTCTCTTTTCTTTTTCCAGAATATGACCAACTTCCATTTTATTGCAAAGACATATTCGAATGCAAACTGTGATTTAAATTGTGATATATAAAACTTACTATCTTTACATATTCATGAGTTCCTAAGGAATATATTGTGTTGATGGAACACCTAATGTGAATATGACATATATCTAAACTTGAATACAAGGACTCAGTATTGTTCAGAGGAGCTACGTTTGTGGGGTGGAGCTCAGACCAAGAAAAGAAACAGGCTTTGGAGTAACTTGTTGAAATGAGGGTAATTTTGGGACATGAAATTAATTTCCTTTCCATGGTAAGGAAAATTTGTTTTTAAGGTCACTTATCTTTGCATATTCCTAGGCATTTATTGTCCAGCTAACTTGAAATGTGAATTTTGAAGTTTTGCACATTTGACTTAAATTTGATTTCTCTACATTCATGTGCACATGGCTTTATTTCCCCTGGTTTACCATTTCTTCCCTTGGAAATAAAGAACCTTTGTTTCAGACTTTCTTTTATCCTTCCATTTAATTTAAATTCACTTGATTTGTGATTCTCCAGCCACCATTATTTCCTGCAACCAGTCTTCCATGATCTCCTTCTTATCTATCAAAAATATGCTGAAAGTAGCATTGATATCTGCTGGTTTTGTGACTGCACGATTTAAAAAAAAAAAAAAAAAAGCAGTTACTCATGTCTGAGAATAATTAGGAGCCAATAACTTTAGTATAATTTATTCCCCCATTT